GGGGGGTAGGGAGAAAGAGAGGGGTGGGTGGAAAAAAGAGAGTAACACTTAGTATATAAGTTTATTTTTGTAAGTATTTCTAAAGAAGTTCGTAATAGTAATAATAATACCCAGTAATAATTCGTTTGAAAGGTACCGATTCCGTAGTAATATAAAATAGCGTTAAACATTTACCCCTGACCATCTCTATAATCTCTTTTACCTAGGCCGCTAAAGGTGCCGATTCTGTTCCGTTATGGCACTTATTTTCAAATATTCTAAATAATTTAAAGCTGTTATCATCATCCTCTTATGCTCTAGAATTTTCGATAAAGCGTCTATACAGAGAATATGTAAAATGGGGGTTACAAGTCAGTATGAAGAAAACAGAATATTTAGTTATCAATGCAGATGCAAGATTTGCAGTGTTGATAGACGAGAACCTGGAAATCAAACAAGTGGAAAAATTTAAATATTTAGGTGCACTCATTGATAAGAACGGCTTGGGAGAAACCGAAATTAAACACTGAATTAATCAGGGACGTAAAATTGTAGAATGTTTGAACTACTTATGGTGGGATCGCAACATTTGCAAAAGAAACAAGAAAAAAAGGCAAACCATGGTTGAATCAGTTCTTTGTTACGGCTGTGAAGTATGGACAATTAATGCAGACCTGAAGAGAAGATTGTTGGCAGTTGAAATGGATTATTTGAAAAGAAGTTTTAGAACATCAAGGCTGGAAAGGAAGACCAACGAATCTATAAGAAATAAGATGAATGCTACAGAAACGGTCATTGACAGAATAGAAAGAAGAGGTTTAAAATGGTTTGGACACCTATTGAGAATGCCTGACGAACGTTGGCCCAAAACTTCACAGATGGAAGCCTCCCTTAAGAAGAAAAAGAGCTAGACCTCGACGCTCATGGAATGAAGGAATTAGAAGAGCGATGGAGCCGAGAGGTTTGGAGAAGGAGCATGCCTTGGACCGCGAGGTTTGGCGGCGGAGAACGGTAATACGTTCATTACAGTATTTGATTGGAAATATTCTAAATAATCTAGGATACCGTTAAAGGCCATTCAAGAATTCCGATATTTCGGTCAAATTCGGAAACGGTATTTTGCACAGGCAATTTTTTGTTTATATAAAAACATGGAATCCTTTTAATTTTTCTTATTTTGTGTGTTACAATTGGATGTTGATTTATAATTTTTGGGATAAATGAGAGAAGAAGACTAAAGAAGACCTGGGAAAACCCTTATGCAGGACATGTCGGTAATGTAATTAGGAAACCGACCATGCACAGGGATAAATGCAGAGAAGATGATGATGATACAAATAAAACAAGTAAATCTAATTCAAATTAGCTCCTTTTGATTTTCAAACAAGGTAGATATATTATTTATCTCCCAAGCTTTTCTGTGCATCCCAGAATTAGAAAAAAAAATGAGACTTTCACCTGTAACAAATATATAGCTATAATCTATAGATTGACATTAAAGATTATATTTTATAACCATTTAATCTAAAGTTAAGCTATTTATTTGATATTGTTTTTTGGAACTTACAAGAAAAACGCTGTAATAATGACAATAATAACAACAAATATTATAGTCTGGTTATAAAGGGTGTCCAAAAATTCATGCAAGATCTGAGTTTGTCGCCATTTATACAGTAAAGTGTTTGCAACCAAAAACAGGTTGACAGCTTTAAGGCTTAGTAAAAATGGGTTTCATTGTTGAACAATGCTTTAAAAATGATGAAAGTTTGGCAGTCACAGTTCAAAAATTTCGTACAAAATATGGTCCGAATATTAATTTAACTTGTGAAGAGAATAATTAAATAATTCAGGGAGACTGGATCAATTGGCGATGCCAAACACACTGGTCGTCTAAAAAGAAGCAGCTCAAATATATGTCACTGCTACTGGTTCATAATATTAAAATATGATAACAGAGTTCTTTCTGCCTAAATTGGATGATATTGATGATATTATAATATAATTCCGGAGGGACCGCAGACGTTCGGATACAATTAGCGTCTCTTAGCAAAGACAATGACGTCGACTTTGCTAAGTATCAAGACAATTACTCTACACACACACACACACACACACACACTACACCTCAAATTGTAAGATTGGCGAATGGATTTAGTGTCCGCAGTCATTTAAACACAAACAAACAACAACAAATAATATAATAGTAGATATAGATAGGCAACTCAATGTATAAATTTCGTTCATTAGGACCCCTTGCGGCTGGGGTCAATACTAATCATCTTTTGGCGGCAAATTCGAATGGACACCCCCTACATACATAACCTTTAGCGCCTCTTGCGGGCTATTTCTTTACTAATTAAAATTTACTCATCGAGCAAAAAGACAATGGCTCGATGAATTTACTGGAAAATAAGGATATATAAAAGATGCATAATTTTTTCTAGATACACGTATATTTATTTGTTAAGATAAAACAGTTATAAACTAATTACATAATATTTTACACATATTTTCAGAAGTTAAATACTATTATTTTTTGCTTCCTGGCAACTTACTATCATCATCCTTTTTGTAATTTTTCCATGATTTGTACACAACGGAACAATACAATAATTCACCATGTTTAGTTTTTTACTAGCACAACACAAAAATTCTTTGCTACAATAGGTAATTAAAACTAAACTTTAAAAACTAAGTTACCAACTTAAATTAAAATTACTAAGAATAAATGCAAACGAAAGTTAAAGATAATAAAATAAAATTGAAAACTTGTAAACAAAAGGAAGATCTGTCATTACTTTTGACAGAATTGACTTGACATTGCTTCGTTTGATTATTTTATTTGGTTTATGATTGGTTAAAGTCTTCGTGAGAGAGATAGGCTGTCATTTCTCTTTATTAACTCGCTGGGGTTAAAGTGATGGGGGAATGAACCAAGTCATTCATATAAGATTCCAGGCCATGAATATAACGGTGTCACATGTCATACAGCCCGTAAAACGATGACGATGTCACATGCATCGAGCAAAAAGACAAAAGAGGGAATCTAATCCTTATGAAAAGGAGACCAAAAAAGTGGCCTCTGATGGCGGACATATCCAGAAATGCGAATGCGCCAAATTTAAATTTTCCGACACTTATTAATAGTAGCTATATAATATTTTTCAGAATGTGTCTTAGACGAGAAAGTTTTAATTAATTATTAACAGTAATAGTCTAAAATGCGACACAATTGTTAAAAAACTTCAATATAAATAAGATTTCATGTGACATTTGAGACAAACAACAACATAACCCAACTAAATTTGATGTCAAACAAGAAGAGAGACTCTATTTCCTTGTCATAACTAAACAATATTGTATAACAATATTTTTGGCCCCACTACCTTTACCTCTTTTGTCTTTTTGCTCGATGGTCAAATGTCACATAGTCCATTTAACCCCATTGGATTTCTTTTTAATGGGGTTATTTTTAAGTCAAAGGTCTATGCCAACAAGCATACAGCCATCCGTGCATTGAAGGATGAAATTTAACGCTGGTCATAAATGGTCATAAAAATGTTTGACAAAAGAGTACGTATGTACCACCAAAGCCCTGGAGGCCATTTGCCTGATGTGATATTTCATACATAACCTTATTACCCCATAAATATTTTCTTTATGATTCAATAAATAAATTACAATCTAAAGAAAAACATCAATGTTTTCTATTCAATTCAAATCATGTGTCAATTTTGGGACACCCATTATATAGATTTTATTAGATTTATATGTTATATTCCTACAAAAACAATGATTATGCAATAATTGATACCAGAAAATATTCTGAAGGTTTAATAAATAAAATTGAATAAAAATTCCGGCCAATTTAGAAGTTGTGTAATTTATGATCTATTATGTCAATTCCCACTTATATTTTAAATTTAGATTTATCCCTTATCTTCAATTCAAACGTTTACAATAAATAGAAAAGAAAAAGCGAATACATTTTCTATTATATATAATCTTCATCAATTGAAAATATTGAGGAAATCAAGTCAGTTTATATAATACAGGGTGAGTCATGAGAAACTTTACATACTTCTACCATATGTAGAGTCCCTCAGGGAGCATATCATGTGGCCACTAAAAAATGTCAACTCCTCTTCTTTATTAATTAACAGGGTGATTTGTGTAATTGACCATTTATTTCATTTTACTGTAGTGTTTATACGGCTCATTTGATTTTTTTAATTTTTGCATGATACAGTACACTACTATCAAGCATTCGACTGGTATTAGCTAAACTAAAAAATTCCAGGACTGGCTTTGGAAAAATTAATTTAGGGATTCGTATTAAATATTACACGTTAGTTAATGAACGTTAGTTCATTGTTCATAGCATTCGTGATAGCTGAGTTTAAGGTGAACAGGTTATCGGCCTATTGCACCCCAGTCCAGTGCCAGGGCTGTTGGCTATAGCTTCTGAACAAGCTATGCTTTCTCCCTTCCTCGTCCGCCCTCACCCTACCTTCCATTGGGGTTGGTTACCCAATCTCCAATAGAGTTCCTCAGGTTTACCGGGGTTCACCCGTGTGATCAAGATCACACTTCTTGGAGGTGAGGATAGCAATTAAGTAGGAGAGGCTAGAGGTGTTATCTGGAAGCAACACCTTGTATTGCGCCTCACTACTCCTTTGAACCCCTTTTGATGTGTAGATTTGTACACATTTAAATTAAAAATTGGAACGCAATATTTTTTTCTAAAATGATTCAGTTATTAAAAGTTAAAATAATATTTTATTTTCTTCAAACAAAATATGGTGTATGAGTAGGATTTGATCTCTATTTTTATAAAATGCAAAAATTTAATGCTAAGCATTCTACGCACATGACCACGCGGCATCTACATAAGAAAATTAAAGTTGCATTTATTGTTGTACTCTTTCATATTTTAGAAGCAGTAGTACAGCTTGTGGTACAGTAAGAAATTAAAATCTTGTTTAACTTGTGTAACTGATGCTTTTTCTTTTGATTTACAGGAGCATAGCAGTCTGGCACCTAGTCAAGTTTTTAATGTTTTAACAAAAGGTTTGAAGAAGCTGGGAGCAGATTCGTTTTCATCTCAAGAAAGTGTGGAGGATTCTTTTAAAAAGGCAAGTAATACTTTTATTTTTCTAGTTATATAATTGGTTCTTGCCGTTCGTCCACTGTTATCAGCACTAAAGCTACATATCTTGATGCTCCTCTAACTCGAACTGAAGTTATAACTCACTAACTCTTGCAGTTGTTTAATTCTTTTAGAATTTCCTCTTCTGTCTTTTTTTTTCATCCCATTTACATTTTACTATTTACTGCTGAACAGTTTACCTTATAGACTTTGAAACTCTTGCTGTTGAAACACCTATTTCATATCCTCTTACTTTTGTTGTAAATCGTTATTCCGCAGGTTCCTCTATTACAGTTTTTTACTCGTGTTATTATTCCTTGTCTTGCTGCTCGTCCATTATTCCTTTAACCTTGTTCTTTTCTACTTAAACCTTTCCCGGTTAAAACATTGGATTGCTAACACGAACCAGTACTTAATTTTTTATTTTTTTGCAGACTGAAGAGGATGCAGAGGTCTTAAGATCGTTAGTCGAACCGTTGAACGACCAAATAAAGGCCCTGAAAGAGAAGCTGAGAGCTACAGATGAACAGTTACAAAAATGTAGAGAATGTGGTCATAGACAAGATGAGGTAATATTTTTTTTCACTGTATTATTTTAATGTTACAATAATTTTCTATACTATCGTTTTGAAAATGTATCAAATCTCAACTTTCTTTAAATATAATTTTTAAAACATTAACAAAATACTTTTTCGGAACTATCTGGCCAAATATTATCTGGCTTATTTATTTTCGGCGTTATTGAACACTAAATCACAAGATATTAAAATTTCAAATACTTGTGTACAACTTCTCTGAATATCGGCGGAACTTGGTCGACAAGAATATGTCATTACGTTCTCTCTCGCTCGCTTTTAAAAACACAACATTCAATCATACATATTCGTCTTCTGACTCTGACTCTACAACACTTTTGATATATTTATCTTGTAGTTAAATACCAGCGAACAATCCCCTCACCATACCAACTTAAACGCCACCACAGCGACGAATACATCGTTCGAGTCCCACAGGCTGTTCATTTGCGACATGTGCAGCAATTACGAGGCTGAGTTGGTGAGGGAACAGAAGATTTCCAAAGAACTGGAGACCAAAGTAACGGCGGCTGAAAAAGCAGCGGAGCGGCATAAGGAAGAACTCCTCAAAGAGATTGGATTTAGGAAAGATATGGAGGAAAAGTGGAATGAGAAAAAGGAGGAGCATAAGAGACAGGTAATATAAGTGTAATATCTGCTGTTTGAATCGTTTGAATGATTTCCACAGTGTGTACACGAAATTGTTTTAGGTAGCAGAACTAACTCGGACAACGGAATGCACAGAACAAGATCTGAAAGAGTTGCGGCAGTTTTTCAACCAGACATGTTCGGAGATGAAAATGAGTATAGGAAAATTAACGCACGAAAGGGAAACTGTCCATCAAGAACTAATAAGGTAAGTTTTCTTTCTTTCTTATTTTTTAGTTATTTTTTATAGTGATTTTCGTATATAAATTTTTAGTGCTGGTCTCCTCTGGTTAATTTATATATACCTGTTTTCTCAATTTATTGGAAACATAGCTTTCTTAACGACTGTAACGACAGATCACGCGACCACACACTACGTATAGTAGTAAACGCAATCTCATGCGTGTTTTTTAATAAAATAAAATAAAAGACATTTTTTATCGCGGGCTATGGACGGAGCCACTGAAACGACTGTAATCGTGACTCTAGCCATTAATTAAGATTTTTTAAAGATAACAGAATTTTTTTAATGAGTTTTTTTTAATTGCGTGATCTTCACTTTATTGCAGTTTTAGGGAGTTAAATTTTTCTTTAACTTCGACCTTGTTTATTTCAATTTTGCTGCGATTCACTTACAATAGTTCATTTATTTTATTTTACGTAACATATGTCGAGGAAATATCGTTTATTCTTCTTTATCGTATTAATTACTTTTCTTTTTATTTCTCCGTTTCTCCCTTCCCCTCCCTCTCTCACTGTCCCGTATTTTTCTTTATTTTCTACTTACATACATCTCTGCCTTTCTTATTTTTTTCCTTCCCTCCCTCCCTGTTTCTCTTTATATGTCTATTTTTTTGTTTACCCTTTAAAATAGGTCGCCCTCTGTGAGAGATCTCTATTTCTCTATCCCGTTTCCTGCTCTCTCTCTGCTTTCCTCTCTATTTCACTCAATTTATCTGTCTCTGTCTCCATTTTAATGCCTGTTTCTCCCTTTCTGCCTTTGTCTCGATCTATGTGTCTATCTCCCCTTTTTTCTCTCTGTCTCTTTCACTCTCTGAGTGTCTGTTTCCCTCTCACTGTCTCCCTCAATTGGTCTCATTGAGTCTCTCTGAATCTCTCTCTGAGAGTCTCTGTGTACCTCTGTCTATTCTACTGTATGTCTCTCGCTCTAACTCTTCTACTCCAATAATGTAATTTCATGTTTTTTACCACACATCTGCTCCGAGATTGTTAAATTTTTCTTCGAATATCTGCCTAACGTCTGACATTTTTGATGCTACATGACTTTTAACTACTCTCCCAATTTTCTCAATCGGATTTAGTTCAGGGTGGCATGGAGGAAGACGTAATACAATGTATCCTTGTTTCGCCATTATTTTGTCTTTCGCCATTGTCTACTAGGTATTGTTTGTATATTGGCTTATCCAATTTAATTTTTATATGAACTGTGTTTCTCATAATTTCTTCCTTATAAACATTGACGTTTGTTTTTGGTTTTGGCTGATTGATTTTTTCTCTTGGGGATTTAAAGATGTTTTGCGAGCTGCCCGAAGGAGATGAAAAATCGTAAACTCTGTTTCCTCCTTTAATAATTCTTTAGACGCTACTTTACAAACTCCAGTAGCTTCAACAACCCTATTCAAAACAGAAGATTTCGTATTGTTTTTTTCTTGCTCCTTTTTCAAAAATTGATACACGTTGTAGATAATCTGTCGGCCCTGACTTTGAACAACACTGTTGATATTCATTGTGATGTAGGCAGTGTAAGGAAGCGAAAATATAAAATATTTTAGTTAAATAATTCTGATTGATCTAAAGATAAATTAAAAAAAAAATCTTATCACGTGTATGTTCGGTAAGTGTTATAAAATCTTTTCATTTTTCTATATAACAAACACCTATAAATTATAATTTAGCTATAACTCGACGATTAATTTTAAAAAATGTTAAGATTAACTATGAAAGTTTACTTTTTTTATAATTTTATTTCATACTTTTAGAACACGATGTATAAAACAGATTTCAAAAAATATGTACTCAAATCAATATAAACCATAACATTTGAAGTGGTTTTCGAAAAGAGATTGAAGCAGACTCCAATATTTATTGTTTTGAACCAGTCTCAAGAAACAATAAATGAAGAAATTTTATTTAAATGTCCTTAATGCCCTCTCTTTTAAGTTATTATAAAACACTTAATATAATAATAACCGATTGATTACGGCTGTCGCCGGTTCTCCTCCCCTAATTTCCATCCTTTTCTGTCATATGCAGTTGCCTCTTCTAAGTCTCTTGCCGCCATTGCTTCATCAATATCGTTGCGGCAACTTATCCGTGGTCGCCCTCTCTGTATTCTTTCAGGAGGCATCCATTCCAGAACTCTTCTAGGCTATCTGTACTCTGGCATTCTTTTAACATGTCCGAACCAGATTAATTGTTTTCATTTTCAATACTGAACATCACAGTTTTTTAACAACAAGATGTATAATCTTTTATAACTATATGTAATTTAAAGGGTTTTTACCCATGAATTTTTGGTGGCTCAGGCATTTTAACCTAGTAAGTATAGCCATTTTTGCTTTTTAACCATAGTCAAAATTTCATAACCACGTTTGTTTTAACTAAATGGTTTATCCTTATTTTAGGCGATTTTAAACCTGATGATGGACTGTTTAGTCTGAAAACGTTTGTTTTTTGATGTAGCCCTTTTAAGGGTTTTTAAATAAATATACCCACTTACGAAGACTAATCTCTAATAATCATTAGTCATTAGTAACTTTATATTTTACAGATTGCAAGAGGAAAATGATATGTTAATAGGAAAATATACAGCACATTCCCAAGAACTGCAAAGTGAAATAATTGACCTGCCAAATACAGTTGAGGTAAGATATTATTTACGAAGGAATTTATTTTGTCGACCTTTTCCCCTACAAAAGTATTGCACTCCTGTAATCACTGAATATTTTAGTACAAGATCCCACTTCAGTATAACTACATTCATAAGGTAGTTCCTCAATTTTACATTTTTACATACCCTTAAAATTAGGAGAATATATTGATAATAGGTTGCTAGTCAAAAAGTGACCGCAAATATTATTAATTCAATTAATTATTTGACTTTAAAGTTTTCACTCCATTAAAATTCAATGATCAGTAGGCCACAACCTATTTTTCCTTTTTGAGTATGACAATAAAAGTCGTTATACTAGGTTGAACATTTTATATTACTTAGGAAATTAATCAAAAATATAAAAAAAAATTGAACTTAGTATTAACATTACCATTTTCTGAATATTACACAAATAGTAAGTAAACATTACTCATCTTGTACCTTAAAGTCTAAGTGGTCATCAAATCCTTCCATGTCATAATCTGCTGTATTGTTAGTGAATAGGGAGCGGTACAGAGGTTTCGCATCATGCATCATTTGGTATTAGATGCATTAAAGATCTAGCTTAGGCACAGAAAGTGGCTCGCCTGTGGGCCAAAGACGAATCAAGTGATCCAAGTTTCTTGTGAAGATCTACGTCAACTTCACTAGTGTTAAAATTGGTTTTCATAAAAATAGTCAGTGGTTCATCCTTTCTTATTTCAATTTGTCTTGTTTTAAGCCCGGTTAACCTACTATTTTCTATGTCTGATTTACGGTTTGCTCAATTACTTTTTGCATAAGATTTTTATATAGCACACGATAGCTTTTAATGCTGCATTGACTTTGCAACTTAATATTCTCAAGGTTATAAATTATAGCTCTCTGGGACTCTGGGCATCATGACATTCAACATTGTAAAACTTATCAAATTCTTTTTTGGCATTATCAAAACGGAACTGTTTTGATTCTTTACATGCATTTCTATGTATGAAGTAACTCTTGTTTTTGAATACAGCTTTTTTTTTATTTGCGACTTTGATATACGTTCTTACGTGTCCTTTTCTTGGACTTTCCTTGGTCGACGAATAATTTTTTATTACTTAAAAATTTTTAAGTTCGTTTTTAATCTTGTCATTTACTTGTATAATAATAAATTCACCGTTTAATGCGATTCCCTCTTCTTTATTTTGTTGCTGGCGTCTGCAGTGATTCATTGTCAAAATCTGCTTCTGGTAGTTCAACCTCCAGAACTTGAACGCTAGTTTCAATAGAAATTTCATTCCCAGGATTTTTCTCATTAATTAATTGAATTTTCCAAGTAACTGGCACAAGTTCTATAAGATCAACGCTATCATCTGGTGCTAATAGATGTGCTTCACTTTGCAAAAAGACACAAGCATTATAATAAAACTAGATAAAAATACCACCAAATCATAATCAAGAAATGTTATCACCAAATTAGCGAGCACTTCATTATTTACAGATAGTTCGGCAACACTGTATTACAAAAAAAAATCATACTACAAAATAAATTAACATTAAGTTGCCGACTTAATTTAATTTAACAACACGTATTTATACATAGATAAAAATTACAACTTTGTTGCAAAAAACTGATAAAGTGTTGGTACCAATACGAACAGTATAATCATATTAATTTATAGATATTTATTTAATTTGCTTACCTGTATATCTTCTAGTTTATGTGATACAAGCACACTGGCAATCATATTTCTCTTTTTTGATTTAAAATTGTTCATTTTCAATTGTACTTATAAAGGTTATTTTATAAAAAAATTCAACCAAAAACTATCATTACTTAAACCTAAACGCCTCAAAAAGTTGTTGTCAACAACGTTCATATATGAGTACGTATGTTGCCAAATCTTTGATTTACAATCATTAAAACGCTAGCAAGAGGCGCTTGGTATACTAATGCAAAACATTGAACTTGGACTAGTCATGCAAAATTCAAAATCCAAAATAAGAAGACAGGCTCTTGGTCTTTTTAAATATATCTGGTTAACTGTTACTAACAAATGACATTTATTCTATATATAGTCTATGCTATTTCGTACCAGAAAATGGCGCTTGGTCTAGTGATGCATAACGCCGCGGCCGTTCACTTAATTTTTGACAAATATATTATTTCGTTCATTTTTCGTAGAAACTTTACTTATAATATACATATATTGTTCATTAGGAACTCCAAGAAATAATTCTAAAGAATCAACAAGACTTGATCATCACCAAAATGGGTAAAGAGGCCCAAGAGAAAAAAGTCAATACTCTTCAGTCTGAGATTATGTTACTAAAAGATAGAATAACGAACGACCAACATGAAAGGAAAGGAATAGAAGATAGTTTGGAATTAGAATTGAGAACTTTAAGGTAAGCGGTTTTGACGAAATATTTTTTTTTTTTTCTATTGATTTTTGATATATTTACACTTTTGTTTTCAATTGTCAGTATAAATGTTGGGTGGTAAATGGTTTTAATGATTTATTTATTGAGATCTTTTCACTAATTCGTCAAATACTGCAAACGATACATGTAGTAAATACTAGTTTGTTGAATAGTTTTGAACACGTGTGAAGTTTTGTTTAGATCTATCAACTCATTCGTATATTTACAGATATTTAAAGTTGATGTTTTTAGTAATTTTTATAGGAGAAAAAATTTACTATCCTGAAGTGAAAATTTTTTTGTGGGAACTATAGTACCAAACGAAATTCATGAGTGATTGTTAAAAGTTTATAAGGATTGTTTGGACTCCCTCCCTCGAATTTTATGGAATGCATGTCAAACTATCACGATACACACGATAGAACGAATTGCCATCGTGATGGTCAAAGGTAGTGTGTAAAATATTTTATAATAATATGAACGGTCTTATGACAAAATTTGCATACAATATATATGGAAATTTTCCGGCTCTATATAACATTGTTGAAAGTCAAATTGAGGTGATAACCATTTTCTAATCGTTAATTGTTGTAAAAAAATTACTTACTATTCAGGACGTTACGAGGTTTGTCTTTTTAGTTTTTCATATAGCCGCTTAGAGGGCGCCATCAATAAAACCTTCCAACACAAAAGTAACCTCAATCTTTTGTTTACATAAATCGAGAGTTGCATTGCATTCAAACAAGTCGTGTAGATACAGTGAATTTTTTAAATTAGAAATTCGAAATTTTCGGAGAGGATTATCCCAACAGCAATGTCTCGCTGAAATAGTTTCTGTGTTTGCGAATGAAACATCACACCAGTCAACTATTTCCCGCTAGTATTGCAAATTTCAACGTAGTCGCTCATGTTTCAATGTCAGCGACGAATAATTAGCCAGGTCCAACCAAAGCAGCAGTGTCACAGCAAAACATTGATGCGGTTCGTCAGCTAATTCAGGATGACCGCTGTATAATATACCGGGAGATAGAAGCACCTTTGGGCATTTCAAAGACCTCTATCCAAAAGATCCTACGTGAAGAACTGGTGTTACGAAGTTGGTTTCCCGTTGCTCTCATCTCTCATTTGCTCACAGGAGAACAAAAAGTGGTATTGGTGTCGAAAAACATTGGAACGGTTTAACAAAGGAAGATCGAAAAACGTTTATAGTATTGGTAGTGACGATGAATCTTGGATTTACTCCTACGAACCGGAAAATAAACGTCAATCCGCTGTGTGGGTATTTTATGATGAGGAAAAATCAACAATAGTGATTCGGTCTCAAGTGTTTCGAGTGAGTGATTTTGTATCAAAATCTGGTATTGTGGCATCGATTGCTTTAGAAAATCGAAGAAGGCTTACTTATGATTGGTATATAACCGTTTGTTTACTAAAAGTTATCGCGAAACTACGACAAAGCAACACACAACGGCGAATCATCCTACATCAGGACAATGCAAGTGCTCACATTACCCAAAAGGCAATAAAGCAATAAACCATCCATTGTATGGCCCCGACCTGAGTCCAACGACTTCTTCACGTTCCCAAAGATCAAGAATTCAATTCGTGGTCAGCGATTCATGTCGCCAGAAGAAAAGTGTATTGATCCTCGTGGGACATATTTTGAAAAGCAATAAAGTATTTTAAGTCTATATAGTTTTTGTCTTTATGGCTATAGGCAAAACTAAAAAGACAACTCTCATACAAAGGGCAGACGTAGGCCTTATTCTAAAGTTAAGAAAAAATCCGAAATTTGGAAACACTTTCATGTGTGCACAGCTCCAAAATCATCTGAAAGTCAGCGAATGAAAGTGCAAGTTGATGCAACATCCACCCTAGTTGCCAGATTTAGCATCTTCTGGTTTTGGCTCTTTTTATAGAACACAGAGATAATGGCAGTAGTAAAGATATTTTGACAATCTTACGGATTCTTATTTCAAGGATGACCGTGGATTATCAGATTACTGAAACAAGTATATCGAAGTTCAGGGAGGACGAGTATGATCCAGAAATTGTCCCCAAGAAAGTTTTAGAGTTAATTTTTTTGGAATGCGAAAAGAAAATTGTGGATTGCCTTAAAGCAAGTAAAACAATAAACTCAACTAATAATTAACTGTATCCTTTTGAATCATCTAAATGTAAATACTCGCGAGGAAAGACCTAAATTAGAGAAGAGAACATTATTTGTCATCAAGACAACGTACAGCTTCTAAATCATCTCGAAAATTAGGAAAATCAAGTACAAATTCGTGCAACATCCCCTTATTCACCAAATTTAAATCCATCTGACTTTTGGCACCTATCGTTTATTAAAAATGAATGCGTGAAAACATTTTTTATCAGAGACGTAATGGCAGAAGTGGAAGCGTATTTTCAGTTTAGTTAATCTTAGAAAAGTCATATTTGAGTTTGGTAGAATTTGTGTGGTGATTCTAGTCCATGAGGTCATATGGAAAAGATATCATTTACCATATTGGGGATTTTAAATCTTTTTGTACAAATATATCCTACATTATAAAATATGCTAAACATTGGCTAATAATGACTTTTCTTGCAGGAAACAGGTGGATCAGCTCCAAAGAGAGAAGAAACAGATATCAACACATCAAGAAAAATTAGCCAATTCCGATAGTGTTAATCAAGAAAAAATTAAAGAACAGAGTAATAAAATAGAAGAACTTACAGAATCAATAGTAAGTTACTTTTTATTGCTGTTATTTCGTAGCAAAATTAATAAGCACAAACTGGCTTCAATGTTTGTTCAAAACGCTAAATAAAATTTCCTAATCTAAATCTAAATTTCCTTTAAGGGGCCTTGTAATATATATATCTAAGTATATTTCTCTAATTTTATGTACAGTAGTTTGTGCTCAGTAAATGTTAAAAGGGCACTTGTACTTAATTTGTTGTAGTTGTAGTTCACTGTTTATTTTATCAACAAAACATAGTGTAAAAGTACATGTTTTACAAATATAATGGTAATTATAGTCCGTCTAGAAAGTATCTGGAAAAAAGAAAGCAGAATTATAATTTTGTGGCATTTATTTCTATCACCTCAAATATAAAATTTCAACAATTAATTCATCTCATTTACTTATACAACCTTTTTTTAAATCTAAACACTTAACTAAACGTCCAGGTATACCCGAAACTAGGTCAAAGCCATTATTTTCGGTAATGGTGTTCCAGGCCTGTAAAACTGACCGAATCAAACCTTCTTTATTTCGCGGCACTGCTCGTTCCACTTCAATCTTCATCAGTCTCCATATGTTTTCAATTAATCTAAGATCTGGAGATGCTGCTTTGCCACAGAATTGTTGCCAATTCGTGTTCTTGCATCCAAGTTTGAGTATAAGCAGAAGTATGGCATCTTGCATTATCTTACTGAAAAGCTACCCCATAAACAAACCATTATTTTAGTGGGAAATTTAGAAATTTGATCAGATAGCCAAGCGGGAAAAATATAAAATTCCGGATACTTTCTAGACGAACTATATATCATACCAACAGTAAAGAAGGGGATGTGCATATAAACAGTAACCGGATCTTACCGTTACCCAATACAAAACATCTCTCCAGAGAATCACAATAACAATTTTCATCAATCGACAAATCTCGAAACGCGCAAAAGCTATAAATATCGAAGATATTCAAGGACGATCATCAATAAGCAACGAAAAGTTACGACAATCTGCGCATAATCTTTGATAATGCTATCCACAGTTGCAGGCGAAACGTCAGGAAGAAATAATTTCATGCCACGACCTGTAAACCATAAAAAAATGTACTTTTACAAAATACAGGTCTATATTAATTAATTACTAAAGCGTTGAGCATTTCTTTTGCTTGATTCCTTCTTAAAAATTGGAACTCGATTGCATGCTTAAATGTTTCTTAAGTACATTAAAGGCGATCGGCAATTTGATGTTGTTCTTTAAGCTAAATGTCTGTGTACCTAATTATTTCAAAAAAAAAATAAAGTGAAAAGCAAAATATGCTTTTGACTGAACAAATATTTTACTTTTCGTGTACTATAAACATTTTCGTTTTAAACCTAATACCACTTTTTATTTGCAGAAAACCCTGGAAAAACAAAATAGTGAATTAAAATCCAGAGTATTTTCTTTGCAACAAGAATTAGATAACACCGAAACTGTTCAACAAGATTTTGTTAGATTATCTCAAAACCTACAGGTTAGTTTTTTTTGCTTAGTTTGTTTAATTACTTATATATATATATACATATATATATATATATATATATATATATATATATATATATATATATATATATATATATATATATACTATACTTAATATACTAGAAAGTATAATCCTAGAGATGACAAAACTTATACAAAAACTAATATTGCACTGCAAGATACCAGACGCATGGAGAAACAGCATAATGATACCAATGTTTAAGAAAGGAGATAAAGAAGACCCCAACAATTATAGAGGTATAAATCTACTGAACACAGCACTTAAGCTTACCACAAAAGTCCTAACCAATAAAATCAATAAACTAACAACTTTATCAGATGAACAATAAGGATGCAGATCCGGAAGATCCTGCGTAGACGCCGTATTTGTACTAAGACAAATCACAGAAAAGGCCATCGAGTACAATAAACTAGCATATCTATGTTTTATAGACCTGACAAAGGCTTTCGATCGCATCCAAGTCGAAGACGTCTTACATCTACTGTATAAAAGAAACATACCAATCAATATTATACAAACCATCGAAAACATCTACCTCCAAAATCGAATACAGGCAAAGATAAATGGAAAACTAACACAGTGTATACCAGTACAAACCGGAGTCAGACAGGGTGACTCGTTAAGCCCACTTCTCTTTAATGTAATAATGGACGAAATAATATAAGCAGTACGTAAAGGTCATGGCTACAGAATGGGGAACAAAGAAATCCAAATATTATGTAATGCAGACGACGCGGCATTAATTGCCGAGACAGAAGACGAGCTCCAAATATTAACACATATCTTCAATATAACAGCTAAGAAATACAATATGATAATATCAGCAGACAAAACCAAATGTATGACAACATCTAAACACCCACTACGGTGTAAAATCGAAATTGATGGGAAAATAATAAAGCAGGAAGTAAGGTTTACATATTTGGGAATAGATATAACTAGTTACGGAGATGTTGAAGAAGAAGTACGACAACAAAGCTTAAAAGCAAGTAAAGCGGCGGGCTCTCTTAATGACACAATCTGGAAGAACAAACACCTAAGACAAGACACAAAAACAAGAATCTATAAAGCAGCAATGAGACCTATATTAACATTCACGGCGGAGACAAGACCTGACACATCTAAAACGAGACGACTGCTAGAAACAACAGAGATGAAAATATTCCGAAGAATATCAGGGAGAAGTCTATTGGATAGGGAAAGAAGCGAAAATATAAGAAGAGCATGCAATATAGAAGACATAAATGGATGGTTGACACAACGAAAACAGGAGTGGAACGAACATATCAGTAGAATGGCAGATGATAGAAGATTGGCAGACCAAGAAAAAGATGGTGCGACAATTTAAACAATTTAGGAGGCTAATATTGAAGAAGAAACAGGCTTTAAAGCCTACATACTAGAAGGAAGAAGAAGAAGAAGATTAATTACTTAGTTAATTAGTAATTAGACACTAATTAAACAGAAGAACGGGTTAGGTTAAGTTTAGTATATACAGTGTTATAGTATATTAAAAAGGTTAAAAAATCGTTAAAAGACAATGAAAAAGATAAACTATTTGACCCTTGATTCATAACCAACAACTAGCGAATTCAAGGTCACGCGTCGTTGACGTAAAAACGTCGTAAACCAGAAAAAAGCATTGTACAATTATCGAAAAAACTTTAAAAAGCGTTACACAATAATAAAAGGCTTTAAAGAACAAAAGCAAATAGTTGTAAAAAGTTTTAAACAGAATAAGGACGTCGAAAAGGATAAACCATTTCAGTACATTTTGGCACCTTAAACTAAAACCTTAAATGAAAAGAAAGCGTTGTAAAAGCATTAAAAGTACCAGAAAATCTGTCTTCTTCTTCTTTTGTTGCCTATCCTCTATGGATGTTGGCAATCGCGTTGGTTCATACAACTTTGTTGACAGCTGCTCTAAACAGATGTATGGTAGTCGTTCCTGCCCACTGTGTGATGTTCTTCAACCACGATGTCCTTCTGCGCCCTTGAGATCTTTTGCATTCTAGCTTGCCTTGTAAAATTAGTTGAATTACTTGATACTTCTCATTGCGCATCACATGCTCTAAGTATGTCATCTTTCTGATTTTCACGATACGCATAATTTCCAGATCTTTATTCATACGTTGTTCACGGTGTTGTTTGTAACTTGATGGATATAGAAAATTCTGAGCATGCGGGGATAGCACCACATTTTGAAGGCTTTCAATCGTTTGGATATCGTTTGACCAGTAAAGTGGATATCGGCGCAACCCAACTGATATTAAACCAACAACCGCTGCAAAGAGTTCAGAGATTCAAATACCTTGGATGTTGGATTACCCAAAATTTAGATCCATCCTTCGAAATTCGATGTAGAATTGAACAGGCAAGAAACTCATTTCAAAAATTGAAGCCTCTATTATCCAATAACTCATTAAATTTGGAAATCCGTGAAAAGTTTACAAGATGTTACGTGTGGTCTGTAATTTTGTATGGATGTGAAACTTGGACTTTAAACGCCGATATCATGAATAAAATCGAGGCGTTTGAGATGTGGTTGTATCGAAGGATACTAAAAATTCCATGGACTAGCAGAACCAGAAACGAAGAAGTTCTTCGAAGAATGAGACATCAACGAACTGTATTAAATATTATTAAGAGGCGTAAACTAGAATATCTTGGACATATAATCAGAGGACCAAGATATGAGTTCCTTCGGCTAATTCTCAACGGTAAAATGGAAGGAAAGAAATGGATAGGACGGAAGAAACTCTCTTGGTTGAGGAATTTGCGACAGTGGACAGGTTTGACAGCGGACCAATTGCTACACGTAGCGCAAGACCGAGATCAGTATAACAATATTATAAGCATGGTAGTCGCCGACGTTCCGTAGGGATATGACACTCTAAGAAAAAGAATCGTTTGAATGTTGCCTCCGCCAAGGTCCAGGCTTTGACTCCATATAAAAGGGTAGAAAATACATAGCATCTTAAGACTTTTTATATCAATGTTCAGGTGCGTATTACATAAAATCTTTCTGAGGCGATTGAAGACAGCTTTCGCCTTTTCTATATGACATCTTATTTCCTGGAGTGGTCCCAATACCTTATTTAAGCTACATCCAAGATATGTAATTTTGTTGACTATTTTCAAGGGTTCATTATTAGCTGTGAATTGGTGCTGCGTTACGTCGTTTTTACTTACTACAAGAATTTTCATCTTCTTACAGTTTAATTTCATTCCGTATCTGTCACAGGCTTTCACTAACGATCTATTAATGTTTGCAGATCCTCCGCATTATTCGCAATTAAAACCGTATCGTCCGCATATCTTAAATTGTTTATACTTTCACCATTGATTTGTATACCTTCTCTTAAACCACCAATAGCTTCCTTGAACAGCATTTCCGAGTAAGTATTGAACAACGTCGGTGACAAAATGAGCCCTAACGTACTCCCCGCTTTATCATGAATTCTTGTGAGGTTTCGTTGTCTACTCGTACAGTTGACCTTTGCTGCAAGTATAAATTTTTAATTAGGCGTAAATCTTTGTCATCAAAACTAGATTCTTTCAGTATCTGAAATACTTTTTGATGTTGCGCCTTGTCAAATGCTTTTTCAAAGTCTATAAAGCATGCGTACACTTCGCAATTTACGTGTCGAGCTCTTTGTATCAATACTTGTATGGAAAATGGGGCCTCTCGCATTCAAGTTCGTTTCCTATATAGGGTATTTTCAAATACTTATATCTTTTGACTTAATAAATTATTACTCTATATTGTGTTGCTAAAAAGTGGCTAAAAAACGAGAAATATCAAAAATTTAACTTATCAAGTTTTTTCCCTGTGGTCTTCAATTGTCGGAGAGAAGCATGTGGATCCATACATGATAAACAGCTGCTTTGTGAATAGTAGATGTTTGAAATAATCTCCAGTGATGTGGTTTTTGATGCGACCATCTCAGACAAAACGTACTACAATGCCTACGCCGCTCTCTGGTAACTGTATGAAAATTTAAACTAATTTCACTGTTTTTTTGCAGGTCCAGTTAGAAAAAATTCGAGAATCAGACACGGAAGTGCGATGGCAGCATGACGAAGACGTAGACGAATGTCCGAACTGCCGCCAGGGTTTTTCCTCGTCGAGGCGCAAACAACACTGTCGACACTGTGGTCAAATATTCTGCCAGAACTGTCTGGCGCGAACGGTGCTCTCCGGTCCGAACAGTCGCCCTTCTAAGGTATGCGACGTCTGTCACACTTTGCTGGACAAATCGTCGGCGCCGTATTTTAGCAAAGCTGTGCCAATGACCTGAGGGCGGTCGTTGTCGTTTCGGAATTGTAGATGTGATGTTAATGTCTTTAAAGTCTAAGCGTGTATAGATTTATTAATTGTATCTATTTAAAATTGAAGCATTAAAGTTTTAAATTACCGATAGTTTGTGTTTTATTATTGAAAAATTCGAAGGCAATCAAGAGAGATTTAAGAAAATTTAAAACAGATAATATTAAACGTACTATATAGGAAAATAACAGCCTAAAAGTTCTATGCAGATAGTTAACGAATGAGAAATGCGAAATTAATGAATTGACAGACAACAAAATGAAATAATAATACGTAGACACGAGATAATAAAGTTCCTCGAAGAGTTTACTTACAAAGAAGAGTATGAATTAAGGTTCCGAACTAAGGCCAAAAACTAAGGTAGAAACTAAGGCCTAAAGGTAGATGAGATTGGACAAGGGTTAACAAAAATGAAAAATAACAAAGCCCCAGGAGAGGATGGAATTGTAATGGAGGAGATATTCTATTAAATAAATTGAGGAAACTGTTTAACCTATGTTTGCAGCAAAGAATGAAACAATGCTATAACCATCCTTTCGAATAAAAAGGAGATAGAACTGACCTAGAAAATTATAGACCTATTAACCTGTTGAACCACATATACAATCTCTACACTAGGTTAGTCACATCAAGATTGGAGAAAAAATTAGATTTCTACCAACCGAGAGAGCAGGCAGGACTCAGATCAAATTATGGTACCAATGATCACCTCCATACAGTAAAGACACTCATTAAAAAATGAATAGAATACAACAAATCTCAACAAACCTCTTGTACTCATTTTCATAAAGCGTTCGACACGATCGAAATAGATAGCCTTATAGAAGTAATGTCTGGAAGTGGACCTGCAATGTCGATTGCTACTCTTTTCATAGGACTACCAACATTGTACTGTTTCATGGGTGCCCTCTTTTTACCAACTGAACCATTACTGGTTGCACACAGTTCACATTTCCGGCACCATCTTCTTACATCATCTTTACAGTTCATCCAATAGAATCGTTCTCGAACCTTTTGCAGAGTCTTCGTAATACCAAAGTGTCCACCTAATACACCGCCATGTAACTGATGCAACACTTCTGACACTTTACTTTTAGGTTCAATCAACTGAAGCTTAGATTCTGTACCATCATCGTTCTTAAATGTTCTATACAGAAGATCATCTTTTAGCACCAGGCAATTCCATTCGCTCCAGTACCACTTGACTTCGGGACTACATGTACTAATATATTGCCAAGAAGGTCTTTCACTACGACACATCCAATCCAATACTCTTTTTTTACATGGATCATCTGCTTGAGCGTCTTGTAGCTGCTGAGAGGCTGCCATTGATCATTAATAATGGTGGTTCGTCTCACGGGGCAAAGTTGTTTTTCTAATTCAAAACAATGATTACGATTTGCACTGTATGGCCGTCTTGACTAAGCATCAGCATTTGAATAACTTTTTCCAGCCCAGTGTTCGATCTGTTCTAGCTTTCTGACTGTTATTATTTTCCTGCAATTTACGATGAATGTGACCTGCGTCTTAACCATTCCAACATCTGGGTTCATGACTCTTCGGCATCATGTTACGAACTACTTTCCGTACGATTTCCTCCAGACATCTATCGTTTTGTACGTCGCTCTTTTCAGAGGTTCGTACTCCACAGCTCCGTGAAGCTCGAGTAGCTGTCTCGTGTTCCAAGGCAATGGCAAGCGCTTCATCGAAAACTTTCGGTCTTGCTAGTCGTAAAGCTTTCCGTAGTTCACTGTCTCTCAATCCATTGATGAAGGTATCTACAGCAATTTCTTCCAATATATTGTCTGATGCCTCTGGATAGGCCAACAGCGCTATACGAGCAACATCTGCTTCAAATACTTGCAAACTCTCACTTGCTATTTGGATTCTACTTCTTATTTGTACTTTGTAGACTTGTTGTAGATGGGCATTTCCGTAACGTTTGTCTAGTCGAGTGTACAAGGTCTGATAACATTTTTCCTGTCCCTTAGGAATCGATCTTAGGATATCCGCAGCATCACCTCGTAAAGCAGCAGTCAAGGAAACAGCCTTTTCTTGTCCTGTCCAATGATTGGCTGCGGTAATATCTTCAAATTGTCCAAGGTATATGGACCAAGAGGACTTGTCCTCTTTGAAAATGTTGGCAATTTGAATCTCATATGATGTGTCATTTCGTCTCTAGGTGATTCTTCTTTAACTACTGGATCTAAAGCCACTGTATTAATTAATGGTAGCACTTTCGTGTTAGTTATCATGGTCTCTAATTGTTTGATCTTCTCTTTTACGTTGTTTACATTTTTCTGTATCTGATCGAATATTTTAGAGACTTCTTCAAATTTCTCATTGTTCTGAGTACATACTTCGTCGAATCTTCTAGAAACCTTTTCGAGTTTCTCGTCGTTTTGTCTAGCTACTTCTTTAATGATTTGAGAAGTTTCTTCAATCATTTGAGACGTTTTATCGAGTCTTTTGGAAACGTTCTTGAATTTATTATCATTTTTTTTTTTCGAAGATTCTTCAATCATTTGCGACACATTTTTTTATTTTTGTTAAAACTGCTTCTTCTGCTGACTGGAACTGAATGTCTCTGAATCGTCTCAGTCATTCTTGGAGTATCTTCTTGGACCCGCTGCAGTCTTCATCGCGTTCTTCTAGTTGCTCACGCAACTGTTTAACTGAAAGTTCTACTAGCAGCATCTTTGGTCAGACACACACCTACTTTTTTAACCGTTCTTTCCTACAAAGATCACTACGAACCACGTGGATGTTCCCGACGAACAATACTTTTCCAAGGTTTTTTAAAAAGTCTTTTTTTTTTAAGACACTGCTGAATTTATTTTTGAAATCTCACACCGGACACCAACTGTAGCGAGATTAAAACGAACGGTTCGAATTTATATAAATATTTATTTATATACTAACCCCACTCATAACATCGTTACATATATATATATATATATATATATATATATATATATATATATATATATATATATATATATATACAATGTAGGAAAAATTTTATGGTCGGTATGGTAAAATTTAACAGGATATCTAACGCAGATATAAAATCATATTTTCAGCGAATAGACAAAGATAACAATCATATTTCCCCTTGGTCTCCCTCCTCAAATATTTTTAACACCTATTGGCCATTAGTGAGACGAATAGTTCCGATCAGAGATATTTTACATATTCTGTGGTTCCGATCCTAATATACCTAAAAAACTAGAGGTGGGTCCTCCCGTTTTTTAAATTTTTATCGGAACCGTTTTTCGTAAACTGTAACTAGTTGATTCAAATTAGCGAGTACACAAACATATTGGCTATTATCGTTTATGTGTATAAGTATTGAAGTGAAAGAACCTAACGAAGGATATATTTATTATAACTTGAAAAATAAATTAAACAATACAAATAGTACTTACATTTACATTAAATCGTACTTACATTTACATTACACGTTATTATTAAATCGCGAATCGTCTAAATTGACATTTAAAAACAAGTGTTTCTACTTTACTTGTTAACAGTGTTCTTCTTTTATTTAAAATTAAACCAGATTTAAAACATGTGTTCACAAGGAAAAGATTTTGTTAAAATTCTACAATATTTTATGAATATAGTGGCTAAGTTAGGATATACATGGCGATGGTTTTTCCACCACGGTAATGGACAGTTCCAATCTCCGTTCGAAATTTATTGTGGGTAATATATTATCAGACAAATACATGTCGACTTCTTGTATATCTCTCGATACAGTTGTATGTTTAGATGAGTCATGTCCAATTAATTCATCAAAAATACACAATGGACTTAAGTCATCTTTATCAGTTTCTTTTTCTTGACTAAACTTATTGATTTACTAAACTTATGCAAAGACTCGTTTCATCCGTTTTCTATAGGTGAAGAACCAGCTTTTAAAAAGTTTACAGGGTGGATTCCTGGATATAAACCGCCAACAAGAAAAACTGTTAGATTCATTACTTCAGGAATGTTATGTCAAAACTGATTTGATAATAGATAAAATAAAAAGTCCTTTTTTCGACAATTCTGCAAAAAACATTAAAAAAAAGTACCTTATCTTCAGAAAGGCTTTTAAAGTATTAATTACAACATAACAAAGTTCCCAAACGGCCAATCCAAGACGTGGAAACTAGGTAGAACTTCACCTATTACAGGTTAAAAAGAATGACTGAGTTAGAAGAGGCAATCCGTTTCACTTCTTCTTCTTTAAGTTCCATCTTCTATCGAAGGTTGGAAATCATCATGGCTATGCCGACTCTGTTGACTGTCGCTCTAAAAAGGTCTGCACTACTGCATTCAACCATTCCCTTAAGTTCTTAGGCCAGGATATTCTTCGTCTTCCCACATTTCGCTTTTCTCGGATTTTGCCCTGCATAATAAGTTGTAATAATGCGTATTTTTGCCCTCTCATCACATGTCCCAAGTACTCAAGTTTTCGTCTCTTAATAGTTAATATTATTTCTGCCTCATTTCCTATCCTTCTAGTTACTTCAATGTTTGACATTTTTTGAATCCATGATATTCGTAGGATTCTTCTGTAACACCAAAATTCAAAGGCGGCCAACTTATTCAGATGAACTTGTTTTGGTGTCCAAGCTTTCAGACCATAAAGAAGAGTAGAGAACACGTAACATCGAAGCATTCTCAGGCGTAGTTCTAACCTTATATCCCGACAACAAAGAAACTTTTTAAGTTTAATAAATGATGTACGTGCTATTTCAATACGTGTCTTAATTTCTTTGGTTTGGTCTACATCTGATGTTATCCATGTTCCTAAGTATTTATAGTTATTAACACTCTTAATTGCAGTATCTTTAATAGTCAATTGGATATTTGTGCAGATTTAGTCATGATCATGCATTTAGTTTTCTTTAAATTTATCTTCAGTCCGTACTCATGACAGCGTTCGTTAAGGCGTTGCATTAGGTTCTTGTAAATCATTGTTGTTATCCGTAATTATTACTGTATCGTCTGCAAAACGTAAGTTATTCAAAACTTCTCCATTGATAGATATACCTTCTATTGAGTCTGAGAGCGCTTCTTAAAATACCGATCACTGTAGACATTGAAAAGTAGTGGGGACAGCACGCAACCCTGGCGGACTCCTCTCTGTATTTTGATATTTTCGGTGTACTGGCGTGTATTTCCGTTCCACATCGGTATTAAATAATACAGACTTAGACTTAGACCAAATCTAAATAAAAAACACTGGATTATTTGTTCTCAGCTTTCCCAAATTTTACGGCCGTTTAAAGAAATAACAAGTACAATGAATGACCAAAAATACTTGAAGGGTAGTTCAGTGAATGTTATGGTACGCGGCCTGCAAGAATCTTGCAAGAAAATTTTAGCAAACGGTAACCTTACATCCATAGTATCCGACGTAGTACAATTACTAATATCGGGTTTAGCAAAAATATTTAAAGGGATAGAACAGAGTGGCATATTGTCATTATGTACATTTATGGATTCACCATTTAAAGTGCAGGGGTTTTCTGATAAAAATGAAGATAAAAAAATAAAAGAAAAAGTTAAGAAGCTGGTTACTTCTATAATTAACGAACAAGAAGATTGTACTATTTAAAATCAACCAGTACAAGAAAAAGAAACCAATAAAGATGACTTAAATCCATGGTGTATATTTGATCAATTAATTGGAGATGGCTCAACTACACGTACACCTGTATCGAGAGTCCATTACAACGGTGGAAAAACCATCGCCATGTATATCCTAACTTAACCCCTATATTCATACAGTATTGTAAATGTGAACACATGTTCAAAATCTGGTTTAATTTGAAATAAAAAAAGAAGACGGTTAATAAGAAGTAGGTATAGTAGAAAAACTTATGTTTTTAATGTCAATTTAGACTATTCGCGATTTAATAATAACGTGTAATGTAAATGTAAGTACGATTTACTATTTGTATTGTTTAGTTTATTTTTCAAGTTATAATAAATACATCATTAGTTTCTTTCACTTCAATAAATATACACATAAACGATAATAGCCATTATGTTTGTTTATGTAGGTACTCTCTTACTTGAAACTACTTTTAAACAATCATAGTTACTTGTTTATAAAAAAAATTAAATTTTTAAATTCATTCATTTTTTTTTGGAATCCTGAGAAAACTAACAAATATTTTTGAAAAATTTAAATGCAGAATAAAAGATTACATTATTACCGAGGGCCGAAAGTCCCTTAGAATAAACAAAAAGTTTTTTGAATGAGATATTTGAAATTAAAAATCACACTAATTTTTTTTCACCCTTATAACTTATTAAAATAAACATTATAGAAGTTTTCAGGGACTTTTGGCCCTCGGTAATAATGTATTGGTTCATTCTGCGTTTAAATTTTTCAAGAATATTTATTAGTTTTATCAGGATTCGAAAAAAATGAATGCATTTAAAAAATATTAATCCGAATTTTATGCCTACGCTCTTAACGATAAAATCACCACGACCCACCTCTACTACCCATTACTCGGTATTCTGACCAGACGGACGACGTTGCCAAATAAATTATTGTGTATGAATATTTTTTAATGTGGTGTTATTGTATGCAGTTTATTATTTCATATTGGGAATAAGGCACAATGTGACTTTAAAATAAGCTTATTTTGATGTTTAGATTTTTAATTCGGAAATCGTACTTAAAATACGAAACATTAATAAATTTTATTTATATAAAACGATTTCCAAAGTGGAAATCAAAATGTTATATTACACTTATTGTAAAGTAAACTTGTGGCATATTCAAAATAAAAAAAACAGTAAGCTGCCATTTAAATCAATTTCGCCCAAATTGGATTATCTTGGAACATTGTTAAAATGCAAAAAAAAACAACAGGTCAAATAAATCCAATAAGTTTGGCAACGTCGAACTTCCCCTTTCCAGGCATGCATGTTGTTCGGTGGTTTGGCGATATAAAGGGCGGACCTAATTTACCTCTCTCTTTCTAAACAGCTGTTTCTCACTCCATCTCACGTAAGGTCCATACCGACCATAAAATTTTTCCTACACTGTATATATATATATATATATATATATATATATATATATATATATGTATGTATATATATATATATATATATATATATATATATATATATATATATATATATATATATATATATATATATATATACCAAAAGTATTGTTCTAGAATCATCTGGTGTAGTCGTAGTCCCATCTCTAAAGGTTGATTCAAACACATCAGTCACGTCTCGTCACAGTCCCGGCTCCGAACCGTACAATCCGTCATACAAAATATTCTTTAATAGAAATATGAAGCCGGCATTCGCATTCATCAGTTGACGAACAGTTTCCCAGCTGTCAAATAATTAATAGTTCTGTAACCAAACAGGACCGGTTTGGCGCCGGGACTGATGTGTTTGAATAGACCTTAATTCGTTGTTTGACGGGTCGATCCTCTCATGCGCTTGAGACATCTGTGGAAATTTCTCGATGCCCTTTCGAGATGTAACCGTTACGTGGGCCATGTCGAACGCATGTTTCGTAACAATAGATATTACTTATTAAATACATTAAGCAAATATTCACTTTGTAAACCACTTCGTGAAAACTTCAGTAATAAAATGTTTAACCAATAATTCTTTGGTAAAACCAAAGAATATAGACGAATATATATGCGTCTACATTCTTTGGTAATACAGCTAAAAATTCAATATACACATTAGGACAAGAAGGAATGACGAAATATAAGAAATAAATATAGATTTTGGAATCAGGCAAGAAATGAAAGATGTAAAACGTTGATCAACTTCTTTTTGTAATTTTTATGAATTATTAACCACAGATTTACTCATAATCTCAATTAATTAATTAAAGCGAAATGATAAACAATGACCTTAAGTCTTATTGGTCGTAAATAAAGCAAAACTAATAAAGAAATGGAACAAAGAAGAATTTAAAAAACTAAACAATAATTTCCATAGTAACTGGTATATAGAAGATGAGTGCAAAAGAAATTAAAAGAACAATGGTTTAAATAACACAAAGTAAGAAATTCACTATAATATAACGATAACCAATTAATCATGAACGTGAATCCTATACAACACTGTTTAATTGGTTGCTTGAATTTCGACAATCTCATGTGAAAAGGACCTTATAACGGTTAAGTTTGCCAAACTGATATTTTCCCGGCAAAAGCATATGATAGTTGGCAGGCTCATTGTTTATAACGTTTATGCCTCTCGTATTTTTTCATTTCATCGAGGGTGTTTTCTTGTTCGCGCATTTCAGCCGACTTTAGTTTCTTTTTTTGGTAAAGGTAAAACTTGCAACAGAACTTTATTTATTAACATGCCACCTAAAAGGAAAGTAGTCAAAGCGGAAGTAGATGCTGCAGCTACTTCAGAAGCCGAGCCTGGTGAGCGAACATACATTTTTATGGCATTTTTATAAATTTCATATTTTTAGAGACGGATATTAACTGCATTTGTTCTTGTAGAAACCTATCTTATATTATTAACCAAAAAATTTGAGTAAAATATATTTGTGCTGTTTTATGAAATATCATCCCACACCTAGTTTTATTTTTGTAGTGATCATATCTCTCAAGATTATCTATAAAGTAATAGTACGCTTTCAGTTCATATTTATCTCATATAATATCGGTTGAGCGCCAAGCCAACCTCCTTGGGCTTGGCGCGCGTAACCTCAAATTTTTGATGCTTGAATGCCGGCATTTTCATTACTGAAAAGTCCATTCATTTTCAACCAGCTCTTCGTTCTATTCCAAAGATTTTACATGGTTTTAATTTACAGTTAAACAGAAGAGAGGAAGGAAAGCTAAAGAAGAGAAGATAGAAGAAGCTAATGGAAATGTAGATGACGACATCCAGGATGAAGTTCCTGAACTACCAAAACGTTCTGGAAGGGCAAAGAAAACAGGTAAACTGCAAATATATACAACTGGTGTGTGATAATTTATGAAATAACGTTACAAAAAATTGGGATAATGATTAGTTTAGTGTAAACTAATAACTAATCATTGCCCAAAAATTGTACTTAAAGAACTGTTTGCATCTCCTTTATGACAAATGTATGTGTCACTTTTTCAGTATCATATCTTTTTGATCTTCTTTGCATGCCATATCAGAATTATCTGATGTTGGCGATCACCATTGAGAAGGCTTCTCGATCTTCTGCAATATGGAATAATTGTCCTGCATTTGGTATCTTGAGTCCATTCACAAATGTTTTTTAACCAAGAAACTTGTTTTCTTCTTACACTTCTATGGCCCTCTATTTTGCCTTTAAGGATCAGTTGTAAAATTTTATATCAACTTCCCCTTACTATATGTCCCAGATAAGACATTTTTTGATGTTTAACAGTCTTTAGCAGTTTTCTGTCTTTGTTGATGCTCCTTAGTACTTCTTCATTAATTTTTCTTGCTGTCCAAGGTATCTTCAGCATTCGTCTATGAACCCACATTTCCAATGCTTCAATTTTGTTCATGATCAATACTTTTAGCATCCACACTTCTGCACTATACAAAAGTACAAACCAAACATAGCACTTAACACTTAGACTGCCGCCATAGTGAAAAAAAGAGGGTCCTTCCAGCCGGACATATTTCTATCCCATATAAATAACATACAAGCGAGAATCAAAAGCTGATTCTCACGGCAACAAAGTCAAATTGGCCGTGCATCATGGCATGCTTCTCATGGCAGTCAAAGTGTTAACCATTCTTTGCCTTAGTTCTAAACTGAGATTGTTATTGCAAAGAAATGACTTCATTTTCATAAAAGTATCTTTTTGATATGACCCGAATTTTAAGTAAAGAAATTGTTAAGATCTTTGAAGCAATTTTGCAAGTTTCACAGCCATCTTAGTGACACTATTTTTTTTTATTAGTATCAGTTTGACTACTCTTTTTTTACTCATTTTTCTCAATTTATTCATGTGTTTTTTTGGTTAACCTTATTATCATATATTTAGTATTATTAGCTATTTAGTCTTGTTAGTTCATCATATTGTTTTCTCATCTTTTTTGTGTTCACATACATATGAACACAGATTATGTAGAACATGTCTGGTATCTGTCTCTTTCATAAAATCAAGTTAAATCACTCTTTCATAAAATGTTTGTTTAAATAATTTTACTTTCACATTTTTTATGAATACACTGTTGATCATGCAATTATTGTGCAGTTCCAGCCTACAACGAAACTTCAACCAAGGAAGCCAAAGCTGAGAAACCTAAACGTGGCAAGAAGAAGGCAGCAAAAAAAGAAGAATCTCCTGTTCCAGAAGAAGTTGAAGAACCAGAGGAAGCTGATGAACTATCAGAAGAAGAGCCTAAACCCGTGAAGAAAACAAAAAAGGGAGCTGCTGAAAAATCCACAAAGAAAACAAAGAAAGTAGCTGCTGATTCTTCTGAAGCTGATGTACCTAGTAAGAAGTCGAAGAAGCCAGCAGCTGAAGCTAATGGTGATTCCAAATCGGCCGAAAAGAAATCCAAGAGGGGTGCAAAATCAAAAAAGAATGTTGAAGAAGAAAATGAAGATGAGGGTAATGAACTTTTGGACTAAACTATTCTAGGATTATTTTTTAATCTGTTTCTTAATTATTGGTATGTTTGTTAAAATTAGTAAAGAATAACTGTAACTGATGCTGTACACATCTCTTATCTACTGACAAGCAACCACTAGTGATGATTGTTACTGTCTTAAAGGTATGTGTTTCAACTCTTATTGTATACTATTATTATGTCATTTGCAAAATGATTCATATTCACAACTTACATGATGGACAAAGACACCTTGCAATGCAGCTTACTGTACAGTATTTTCATTGACTTTTATGTTTTTATTTTAAGGGATCTTTGCTTACCAAAATTAACTTTCTGTCCCAAATTTGTTGAAACATACCTTAAATGTCATGTTTTGTGTGTACTTCACATCTGTATTCTTGTATTTTTTATTTTTTTCACAAATGTCCAGTTCATTTTTTCTGTACTAATAGTCTAATATCCATATTTAGTGATTTAGGTTTTGACATATTGTTTTTTTATTTATATACTCACTTTCCTTAATAATTTTGCTGAGTTACTTTTTTTCGTCTGTCATTGCTTGAGAAATGTAGCTCTTATATTTTGATTAGTCAGTTGTTTTAATATAAAATTGAACAGACATGAAAGTATCATTTTTTTGTGCGTATTGGCATCAGATTGTATGTAAAACTAGCATTTGAAAGAAATTGAAGGTCTTAAGTGGTGTAATGATACAGAAAAATCTCGAATTAAAAATAACTCTGCAAATAATTTTGTTATATGTGTACCAAAGGCTTTGTGTTTTAAAATTTTTCAGTTAAATTCAAATCTGAGAACAGTATTATGTTAACAAAGTGTTCAATAAAAACATTAATAAGAATAATCTGTTTTATTTCTTTCATTTCTTAACTAGTCAGCAATCAATTCTGAACAATGGAAGATAATTTAAATAAATTAACAGTCTATCTAAAAAGTATTTACCATCTTATACAGGATCAGATGCTGGGTCCTGTTAAAGCCTGTTAAATTTTTGTTTTGCTTTATAGTTTTTGGGGTTTTGGTTATTTCCTAACTTTATGAACATAATTATGTTTCTCGGGGTCCTTTTAAATCATGCTACTTGGTATATGTACATATCTTCAATTATATACAATTCATGTATTGGAATTAATACATGACAATTCAATATAACTTCTTGAGTGATATTTGACAGTGTTTTGAAGGGGTTCTTGTTCTTGACGTTCAGGATTTCATAAATTTTAGTTATAAATAACTTTATTTACACTTCTTACAGGCTACTATATATTATAAGTCTTTTATATATTTCTTGTATATAATTTTGGGGGTATTTAGTTTACCTTTCAAATAATACCTACATAATTATGCATTGTTATTTTCATGTGACTTTGTTTACAATTGGCAATTTCGTATTCAAATTGTAGATCTATAAACAGGGATGCTTTTTAATTCAATTAATTTTTCAAATCATTTGTATTGTTGCACCACTTTCCATTTCTTTCAAATGCACATTCTTGAAAAATAACTTGTGGAAGAATTTTGTTTTCATGGGGTTTGTAGGCTGTAGTTGAATTATTTCTTCCTGAAGTTTCATCTGCAATAAAGGCAGACATCAAATAATCGTAACTCTCTTTCACACAATTATGACATTTCTTGAATGTCTATTCTACTTAGAGCGTCCATGTTACCCCCAGTGTTCTCTCAGTTGGTCCTAATTAGGATTCCGATATTCTATGCTACTAGGGAGAGGTTTTATGTATCATAGCGCTGAAATACATCCTATTTTGATTCAGATCTTCCTTATAAATAAAGTTCTTCTTTTTTATTTAATTAATCTTGATTGTTTATTGGATGGTTGTTGCTTCTATGGAAGATTGTCACTCCTTATGTCTTGCGTGACCACTAGTGATTTGTACCTTACTAGTTTAACAACACTTGTATTTGTCATTACATTCTGTATATTACATTACATTACTCTGTATGATGAGAAGCTGTACATTTGTTCGGTGGCATATCCACTGCGAGGCATTAGCCAGTGTCCAGAAGTCCTGTAAGTTACTAGCAGCCACTAAATTCACACATGATTGATTTTAAACATGATTTGAACATTAAGGAGTAAGTAAAAATTCCTGTGACCTATTAGCTGCCATTATTGGAGATTTATTTTAACTACTAGGGGGACCTACTTTACGATCGCTTGTGATTCAATTGGGATTATTATTTTATTTAAAAAAAGTACAAATTCTGATAAACCAAAAACTGGACTGCAGTGGAGTGTGGCACAGATATTGGCACATTTTTTAGATATTTATTAGTTATTGTGCCAATGAGAAAGAGTCCAATGATCCAGTTGATGTTAGTTGAATCATTCTAGATTGCAAAAGTTTGGTAACTGCTCGCTAAAATTCGTAATATAACCTTGTAAATTTTGCCAGGAATTTTCTTAAACATATTAACAAATGTGTCAAAAATAAGGCACAAACTACAACATACTGTACTTGAAGTAAAAGTGTAGAGTCTGGCCAGTTCATTGGCTAGAGATTGTGGATTATCTTAACAGCTATGTACTTAAAAAATATTTGTACGTCGGCTCATCCAAAATTATTAAAACGAGAAGGAAATCATTGCCTCAACTTATTCTATTAATACGCCTCCTGCACTAGTCCAATCAAAGTTCACACCTCTCGAGTTGAATATTGTTCTAGTAGAAACTATTTTAAGCAGGTTATATAATTGGTTTTGGTTTTTAGAAAAACCATTGTTTTGACGACGTTTCGGCAAGGTCACACTTGCCATTGTCAAACAGATTAGTTCTGCTTCGTCTTGATGTTTCACAGTTCTCCCTAAATTTAAATAGTATTTCATCAGCATAAACCGTTTTAAGACGTGAATACTTTCCAAATTTTCATGATGGCTGATAAATCATCATCATCAATGGTGCTACAGCCCTATGAAAGAGCCTCGACCTTCCCAAGTCTATTACGCCAGGCAGTCCTATCCATTGCCAACCTTTGCCAGTTTGCTGCGCCTATCTTTCTACCATCCTCATCTACATCATCCTTCCATCTGAGTTTTGGCCTGCCCCTTTTTCTACTTCCCACGGGTTGTGACATAAGGATTCTTCTAGGAGAATTGTTCTGCTGTGATCTTGCTAGATGTCCTGCCCATCTTAGTCTTCCTATTCTTATAAGATATACTATGTCTTTACCACCAAATATTTGTTTATATCTGTGGTATACCTCGTATTTGTATCTCCTCCTCCAAACACCATTTTCACAGATGCCACCAAATATTCCTCTCAGGATCCTTCGTTCAAATATAAGCAGAAGGTCTTCGCCTGCCTTGGAGATATGTCAACACTGGCTGTATAAGGGTTTTGTATATAGTTATTTTTGTTTTTTGGCTTAAGTTTCTACTTCTCATATGTCTACTCAGTCCAAAATAGCATCTGTTTGCCATTATTATCCTTCGCTTGATTTCTTTCGTTATGGCGTTCTCTTTGGTGATCAGGGAGCCTAAGTATGTGAATTTGTCCACCACTTCAAAGTTATAGTTACCAACCGTGAATTGGGGACCGATGTTCCTGACTCTATTGTTGGGTGTTGATGCCATCATCTTAGTTTTCTCCTCATTTACTTGCAGACCCATAGATTTTGAGGCATTTGAGAAGGTGGTATACATTTCTTCTAGCTTGCGTGTTGTGCGGGCAACTAGGTCCACATCATCTGCATTTGCCAAAATTTGGGATGATTTATTAAAAATATTTCCTCTGTTGTCTATTCGGGCATCTCTGATCGCCTTTTCCAGTGCTATGTTGAGAAGGAGACACGCCAGCGCGTCTCCCTGTCGCAGCCCAACATGCGTTCCAAACGCCTGTGATTGTTCGCCCTATATTTCGACTTTGCAAACCACATTACGCATTGTAGCCTGGTGGCTACTGATGGGTGATAAATAGAGACTGAAGATTGCACCAAATAATGTGTAAAATATGCATACAATATGCATGTTAAAACAAGCTGAATATGCGCAAATATGCATTTATAATTTAGATATTATATGCACTTATTTATATAAAAATGATTTTAAAGTTTAGGATAAATTCAGTGTGGTTTGAATTTAAAACAAATTGTATTATTTTATAATACAAAAATTACATATTTTTGTTACAATAAATAATCACATATTCATTCATATTTTCTAAAGTAATATATTTCCTATCTGTTAATATTTGTTTATAGAAAGAAAAAGATCTCTCAACGTCACAAGACGTAATTAAGGCACATTTAAACTTTGCTATTAGAAACGGATCCATATTAATATTTTCATCCAAGTTTCCAATATTGATTATATTTTTTGTTGATATAAGGTGAAACCCTTATTTTTGTTGAAAGCGTTGTAAAGTTTATCTTTAATTTTTACTCCAATTTCCCCATTCAGATTTGGTTTTTTGATTCAGATTTCAGACATACATTTTGAGCCTCTAATTTTGTAATTAAACTTTCAATGATATCGAAATTGATCTATTGATCTATTGATTCTATCACACTAGCTGGATTTAAATAATGTGTAAAAAATTAACAGAAAATAAAATAAAAAACACACTCAAAAATATTATGTATGAAAAAAGTTGAATTAATTCAATACTTTTTGATAAAATATTGTTATTTTTTTGCGTTAAATAAATTTACAACAATGACGATTTTCCGACATGCGAATAATTGCCCATGCACGAAACATGGAAGCTCTTAAGTTAATGTGTGATTTTATTCTGTTTATTGTCATTGTAGAAGCCAATAACACGGGCAATTATAAACGTTTAAAACCAGCTGGTACGTTCGTTGAAATCATCAGTTTCGATCGTTGTCGCAATGCAATGACATTATTAACATTATTTATTAGCATTTTCACAGTCAGTTCATTCCATGGCACAATCAAGGTTGATTCATATGATGTAGCATAATGACAACTGAAATTGTTAGGCAATTCTAATGAATTTACAAAATTCTGAAGGATAGTTGACTACGTTATTCTGATTTATAACTGTGTCAACTGATTTGAATAGAAACAACTTTCCTGGAAGAAAATTCAGAGTAGTATATTCAACTGAATATACATATAAAATTTCATAATTGGTCAAACCGTTTCGAAGGAGTGTGGCAACTAATAACTCTGTGACACTAATTTCGCTATTAACAAAATACGGGATGGTGATACAAGGGTGAAAGTTAAGGGTTGTATGTATAGTTTAATGCCACATCATAAAAAACAAACAATGTTTACAATGGACAATGGGGTATGGGGTATGAAAAATAGATGACGCCGATTCTCATATCTAGCGAATATAAATATAAAATTTCGTCAAAATCGGTGTATAACAGCTAACTCTGTGACACTAATATGGCTATTAAAAATTAGGGGTTAGGAATTTGTATTTCTTAATGCCACATCATAAAAAAATTTAAAAAATCGTAAACAAAATAAAAAAAAATGATTCGGATGAACCAGTCTTACCCCTTATAGGAATGAAAAATAGATCAGACATATTAAATATACATAGAAAATTTCATAAAAATCAGTCAAGCCGTTTCGAAGGAGTATGGCAACTAATCAACTTGATTGATGATTTCTTTACCAATTCTTTGTTAAGGTTAAAGTCTACACTCTGAAATTCCTAGTGGCAGTCTGTTTTTAAAGTATAGAATCCCAGGATTTTCTTGTCTGAATTGCATACATACGGTTTGTGAAATTATAAATTTTTAAATTGTACAGGTTATTAAATTCTTTAAAATTAGAATTTAAAAATTAGTTGTCATTTTATACACTTTGAAATCTGTTTTTTCCTGAACTTCTAGCCAAATGT